TCGCTCCTGCGACAGAACACTGTGAGCACTCTGTGTGGTGGGGTCCTCCGCGGGGATGTGGTTGGAATGTGGCCTGGGTGGGAGTGGCCCTGTGAGCAGGGCTTGGGTGTCAGGGCGGGGTCTCACTTCCCTTACCACCAACACCCCTGCCACAGGCAGCTTGGTCCAGGGCCGATTCCTGCCTCAACCAAATGACTACTGCCCTGTCCTCTTTGCTGACTGCCCCTCTCAGGGCAGTGGGAGACCGTCACCCACTTGGTGGTGTTACCTCCTCCAGCCCTGGTCCTTGCTGACTTGGGCCCCGCCCATAGGGGACTGATCCCTCAGAAGTGGCCCCAGAGTGGGGGTGGGAGGGATTTAAAAGGGCAGGTCCTGAGCTTCCATGGGAGGACATGCCCTTGTCCCCATGGACCAAAACAGAACTGGTGTCTTCATCGTGGTCCCATGTGGTCACCCTCTGTTCATCTCTCCCCCCAGCCATGGCCTCTCAAATTGGGGTTTTCGTCTCCCTATGAGGGGGTCCTGGTATGTACACGGTTGGTGGGCCCACCCTGCATGTCTTCAGTGCCGTGCATGCGGGGGTTCCCCTCTGCCCCAGGGTCCTCGTAGGGTAGGCCCAGCATGTCCTAACACCTGGAACTGCATGCTGGGGGAGGCCTGTTGCCTGTTGACCACCTGTGTTGAGGACAACTAACCAGCTGTGCCAGGGCCACTTGGTTAAGAGTGGTTCCTGGAGAAGCCTCACTAAGCCCAGCCAGCCAGCCACAGCAGAACTAACCACCCCTCGAGCTGTGCACGCCACCCTCTCTCCACCCACAAGCACTGACCCCACCCGCCTGAGAGGCCGCCAAACCTGGTGCTTCTCTGTTGCAGAACAAGAGCCCCACAGCCCGGGGAAGCAGCGGCGGCCCAGAGGAGCTAGGGGTGCTGCCAGAGGAGGAGGCAGCCGGCCACGATGAGGACGAGGACCGGGAGAAGGAGATCCTCATCGAGCGGATCCAGTCCATCAAGGAGGAGAAGCAAGTGTCCCTCCATCCCCTTCCCGCCCTCGCCTGCACCATCCAGCCCCATCCACCAGTCCCTCCACCGTGCACTCCGGAGCCAGTGGGCCAGGCTCAGTCCTGCCGCCCGGGACCCACCTCATGGAGGAGCGCTGCGCTCCTAAAACAGCCTGGAGCGCTGTTTAAGTTCCTTCTTCACCACAGGGAACCATGGTGCCCACTGGGAGAGAAAGGGCAACAGGGAGGATGTTCAGACTTTGTCTTGAAGGTGGCCTTAGCTGGGGTGACTGATTCATTTGTGTCCAGTTGGGATGTGAGTGTGAAATTGTGCCAGGAGAACAGATGTGACCCAGAGCAGCTGGCCACCCTAGTCTTACAGAGTAGGGCGCTCCAGGCAGAGGGAACAACGCGTGCAAAGTCCTAAGGCAGGAGCTCCTCGCTTGCTCAGTCCTGGGCCAGGTGCCTGGCTTCCCTCAACAGCCCGACACCTTCTTCCTGTGAGCTTTGCGGGGCCAGGTATGCTTTGGGGGTGGGGCGTTCTGGAGGCAGGGAGTCCCATCCCAGGACCAGGATGTCCTGCTCTGTCCCATACTGTCCTGGCACTTTCCATGGGGTAGTCTGTCACTATGGGAACAGCCTGGGACCCGGGACCCCTCTTGTTCCCAGGGAGGATATCACCTACCGGCTGCCAGAGCTGGACCCTCGGGGCTCCGACGAGGAGAACCTGGACTCGGAGACTTCGGCCAGCACCGAGAGCCTATTGGAGGAGCGGGCCGGGCGGGGGACCTCGGAAGGTCAGTATTAAGGTAGCGTCTGCTTTTTTCCTCCCGTGTCCACCCCTGGCAGGCCCCCGGGCAAGGGTCTGTCTGCCAGCCTGAAGCTGCAGTAACCCTGCCATCTGTCTCTCAAAAGGACCCCCCGCACCTGCTCTCCCCTGCCCCAGTGCACCTGCCCCGAGCCCCCTCCCCGAGGTGGCCGCCTCTCCAAGACGAAGGCCGTCGTCCTTCATGACGGTCAGAGTGAAGACTCCCCGGCGGACCCCCATCATGCCCACGGCCAACATCAAGCTCCCCCCTGGCCTGCCCTCCTACCTCCCTGGTCAGGCACCAGGTGCCCAGGAGGCTGCCATGCTAGTGAGGCGCCGAGAGACACCTGCCCGACGCCCGGACCAGATACACTCTGTGTATATCACACCGGGTGCCCACCTGCCTGTGCAGGGCACTCAGGAGCCCCTGGACAAGGATGACCAGCCACCTGGGGCCAAACGGAGGTACTCGGACCCCCCGACCTACTGCCTGCCCCCCACCTCAGGCCAGGCCAATGGCTGAAGGCCCGCAGGACCAGAGTCAGAACATCTGAGGACAGCCGTGTGCCGGAGCGCCAGCATTCGGCTCTCCGAGAAGGGTCTGGAATGAAAAGCTCCAAGAGCAATGTGAGCTGGGCACTGGCTCCAACTGCAGAGTCCAGCAGGGAGAGGCCGGCCAGGGCTGAGCCCCGGTTCACACAGATGTGCCGCCGAGAGCCCCAATCCTGGCAGGCAGCCTGGTCGCTCCCACCCCGTTTTGTACGTTTTGTATGGTTTTACAGTTAACTGTTACCTTGTGCCTGGTTTACATAACTTTAAACTGTAACAGCCTTAACAGAGACCAAACTGTTTTTTATATGTGTATGTACAAACTTTTGTATTAACGCCCTGCCTCGCCTTTATAACCTGGACACGGACTTCAGAGCAAAACCCACATGGCCGCCGCCTCACCTCGAAGGCTCAGGCCCACAGTGAGGACGGCTTGGACCAGGGGTTTGGACAATTGGGGCACCTGACTGTCCCCAGTCTGTCTGGGTCTCATCCTCAGGCCTGGCCAGCAGTCCTCAGCCCGCGTGCATTCAAAGAAGCAATGGAGCCTTCCATGGTGACCCAGGCTGTTGGCTGGAGTGAGGACAGGAGGTGGGGGGCAGCCTTCACCTGGGGGACCACAGACCTCACATCCAGGGTGACTCAATGTGGTCATCACTCTGTCCACTGTTCCCTGAGTGGAGGAGGCCACCCTTGGCACCGCCTGCCCCTTGTGGCAGAACAGGAACTCAGGATTGCTCAAGGGCGAGGAGGGTGAGGCCTGAGTTTGCACATCCCTGGGAACAGCCTGGGGACCTCCAGAGTGGGGCTCCTGTCTCTCAGGCTCCTCTCACTCCCTGGACACCTGGACAGATGGCCCTGGGTCTGGGACTAGAGGTGTCCTACAAACCATGTGAAATAAAGAAAAGGTGACTGAGGTGTTTGATGTGATACCTGCTCTGGGTGGGAGGAGCATGGGGCAGCAGGGTTGTGGTCTCCTCTGGAAGGACCTGCCTTGCTCCTGCAGCAAACACCGCTGTTGGAATTGCACACGTATCCATCCCTGGGGGGGTCTGGCCTGCTGGAGGCTCATGCATATTGATCCAGAAACCAGAGGGAGCAGAGAGTACCTGGAGCTACATTCAGTGAGAAGAGCCTGCTGTCCTGGGAGTTGCCTCTTGTCACCCTCTTGCAGCCTAACCCCAGCCAGGGCCATCCACCCTGAGGGCCTCACAGAGCCAGGAACAGCGTCCCCACACAAGCTCCCAGGCTGCAAACGGGCAGTTGTGGGAGCTGGCTGGCAGGTGGGGGCAGTGAAGATTGCACGTGTTAGGGAATTGTCCAAAGTCACACGCTGGGATGGGGCATGGCTGGGATTCAAAACCTGCTGCCTCTGGAGCAGCTGTTGCCAGTGGTCCGCGGACCACTGCTAGAGTGTCCCTTTATCCATCCTGGGCTTGGCTTCATCCATTGTATCCTTTGAAGACACCAGGCCTACTGGTGTGATGGGAACACAGGTGACCTGGGGCTGGGAAGATAAAACCTTTGCACTCCAGGGTTGTCCCTGTGCAGCCTCCATCTTCATTCACCCTATCTGCTCAGGATGAGCCTTGGCTCCCTGGGGGGCGGGGGGCTAGGACTGGGTTCTTTGCATGGGGGTCTGAGCCTTAGGGGTGACCCAGCCCCACCTCACTCCAAGGGCTAACCTGTGTCCCCCTTGAAGCGACACCGTCCCACTGCCCACTTCCCAAGAAAGGGCTGGAGGGTTGAGTCAAGAGTCGGGGTTGGGAACGAGGTGCTCATAACCACATAAATTCGGATGGGAACCCAACCCATGGATTCTGAAGTCCAAGGCCCCAGGGGTGGGCAAACTTTTTGACTCTAGGGTTCAAACGGGCCGTAGTTTGCCCACAGCTGCCTTAACCTCTTCCCTCCTCCCCTTCCCGAAAGAACTCCGGGAAGGCTGCTGGTGTGTGGTAAGAACCCAGCCAGGAGTGAGTGTGGTGAGGAATTTTGAAGTGGGGGGTGTGGGTGATCAGAGACTGAAGGGGGGGGCGGGGGGAGTGATCAGGTTGCACGTGCGCCTGACACCGAAGGACCTACGTGGTCCTCAACCTTTCGTTAAGGGTTGAGATGGCCAAGACGAAAGCTGGCGGTCCGGCCCTGAGTAAATATGGACCCGGCGGCCTCTCCAGGAAACAAGACTACTCCCGCCCTAAAGCTGGGACTGGGAAAGAGAGGGGCACGCCCACCCGGAAGGAGGTCAAATGAAGGCACTTCCGCCCTC